AGGGGATCGATGGAAAATATTATTTGTACTTAAAATATTAACTTGATTAGTTATAATCATTGAATAGGTAATTGGTCTCAATAAACACATGGAGTTATAGTTAATTTAATAACAATGATTAATTAAATCAATAAATTAAATTAATATTTTAAATTCATGTAACATTGCTCTTAAGTGATACATATATAGATCACATGGCTCACGAGTAATAATTTATAACAATAACTATGTAGGTATGTGTATGCTTAGATTGTGACTACTTAACATACAGGAAAAATACAAACATGGGCTCAACTTTCATAGAACAAATCAGAAAGCATGAATTACAACCATCCCCCAAAAAAAAAAGTGGTAGGAACAGTTACAATGAAGGTGTCACACTCAATCAATGAAAAAATTTCTTGCTTTTCCTCCATCATCCTTTTGATATGGAATCATCCTTTAGGATATGCCATGCCATGCCATTTTAGTTTGTTTGTTGTTGCTCATCATGTGGCTGTTACATTCAAAAGAAAACAAGGCAAACAAAATCATCAAAACAAAAATCCACCACCCATCACCTTGTGGGGTCTTTTCATTGGATCTAAATGAACTCCATCAAACATCACCATCTGAAAAAGCACCTTTGTGGAAACCAAAGAATTTTTATACCCTAATCGCCAGTATAAATCAAATCAAGTTACAACTTAAAATGGTTAAATACGACCGAATGAAGTTATATTTAGAACTTAAGATCGATGCAAAAAAGTTGGGATAGATTCAATTTAACTCTATTGAATTGTAATTTGATCTTATTGGACCAAAGAAAAGAGAGAGACAACCAGTAGATAGAAACTCCATTGAGCTTGATCACGAGGGTCCTCTTGTAGAATGTCCAGTTTGAATCATATCTACAAATTCGGAAGGATAAACTCATCACCACAGTATCACCAAAGTCAAACAATAAATCAAGTTGTTCTCGTGAATCGAACTATTCTTGATAATCACATAAGAGTTAAGTGACTCTAAACGGATACAATTTATCATTAGACCACCAACTCAGGTGATTATTGGACCATCATTCAATCCCAAAGTTTTTTGACTATGGCACCATAATTTACCTACCAAAATAACCATGATCATCAATATGGGATAAAAATCAATGTTTTATGGCTCCAATTATGCCAATAGAATGGGTATTTTGGTTTGGTCAGCTGATTGACTTATCATATTTATTAATCATGGGTTATGTGTTCTCACAAACATCATATAAACTTTATCAGCCAACGCTGACTAACACTCAAATTTGACACCTTGACCGTAGTAGCACGATGAGTGCTAGTTTTGACACCGTACTTCTATTTTTAGATCAAGAAAAATGTGTCACGTCTATACTTCTTCTGTCTTATGATTTTTCTTTTTCATTTTATTAATTATCGATTATAAATTATTCAAATAAAAAATAATGGTCTAAATTTTTTTTTTGGAATGGTACGATACATTTAATTACCAATCAGCCAGACTTCTCTCCAATTTATTGTTTTGTCAATTAAAGTTGCAAGAGTTAGGTGTAGGGAGATATGTTGCAACCTAATCATTTTGTGAGCCCAATCACTGTCATTATGTGCACAGAGTGACAGTTCCATCTAATTGTGGTCCACTCCTCTATTTCTTGATAATTATACGTAATGGCAATTAAACCAAGATTTTTTTATTTTTTTTTTATTGTACATTATTTATGTTTGTGCTGACTATTTTCTCGAACTCAGTGACTGACCACCGTAATCACAAGCAATAGAAAAGTTGGCCAAAAGCCTACATTAAAAATTAAACATTTAGAGTTCGAATCTTTTTTTTATGACCACTTAAAAATTGTATCTTGATATTTTTGTCGATGGATGTTCAATGCTATCAACATATGTTTAGATCACTCAATTTAGTTACATGTTTTTTTTTTCATTTTCTAGACTATATAAGAAAATCTTATTAACTAGCACGTGCGACTTTTGTACACTAATAAGATTTTATCATACTTAATAACAACAATGGATTAGATCTACGAAATCAAATTAAATAGATTATAAATCGCGAAATTTTCAAACAATCATAGGCTTATATATCTTTGAGCAACATATTAAAGACTAAAATTAGCTATTGTTAAACCTTTTACATGTATTTAAAATTACTATATTTTTGAATGTGCATTGTAGATTATGTTCCCATAATAAATTTAAGTGACATTCATTACCTTTAAGCAAATTCACATCAATTCATAATTCATGATGTAACGTTTAGTAAAATTTAAAAAATATATGTTGAAGAAAATCTAAATCATGCATTACATAAATTCTTATTTCAGTTCATTTAAGAAAAAGGGAAATCTCAACACCAATTTATTTTGAATGAAAAAAAAATTAGGGTTTGATTAAAAAATAAAATCATACCACCTATCATTTTTTTGGATGGAGTTTATTGATTTTTAGGGTGCATTCACCTAGCATTTGTTGAGTTTAATGCCTTTTTTTGGGTAGAATTTATTATTTTTAATATCAAATTTACTATTTTTTTTTATCTTTCAATATGATACCAAAAACCAACTATGTTTTCGAAAAATTGTAGCAAAACTTCCTTTGTGTAGTGAATTACAAAGCATATCCAAAAAAAAAGACCCGATGGTTCAATGTTCAAGTCTGACCTTTTATATCTCCAAAGGATCAACCCCCTTCGTCATGTGTCAGTTGTGGCAGAGCCATGTTATGTCCCCTCAACTATGTAAAATTGTACACTACTCCCCTAAAATTATGTTTTTATCACATTTTATATATCACTTAAATTTTTAAAATTATAATTTACACGTTAAATTGTAATTTTGATTTTATTATATCCTCTTAACTATGATAGAACTATTAGCTATTAAAATTGTGACAATTTGCATAAATCAATAAATTTTGATATTATTTGTAAATTTTAGACTATTTTGAATTATTAATGGTGCAATTGATTTGACTTTTACATCCAATATGTTAACAAATTTTGATTAATTTTATTCATTTTATTTAAAATAATAATTATATTATATCATGTGGGATTGATTCTTATATATTTTATGCATTTAAATATCATAATAATTCACATTGATTAAAAATATCTTGCTATATCACTATTAGCTCCCTTAAAAAAAAATCCTAGTTCCATCCCAGTGCGTCAGCATTGTGGTTTAAACTAACTTGAATCTTTGGGATTAAATTTAAATTTGAAAGAATAGTCAGTTGAAACCAGACTGTTCACCGACTCGAATCTTTGGTTCGAGGTCTGACTTCGAAAAAATATTCGGTTCAAGCCTAAATTTTTGGGAGGAAAAAAAAAAAAAGTGGTGGCAGTAGTATCTGAGAAAAGAAAAAAAAAAAAAAAGTTGTGGTATTATTGTGGTAGTTAAACTTAGCTAGAGGAGCGTGAAGATAAAGGAACCGAAACACACAGATGACTGATGCTTCCTTTGGTCCATATAGGCGACGAACGTAGAGATGTGACTCCACAATTTCCGCCAACCCCTCGTCCGCGCGCGTGTTATTCACGGGACAATCAGATCACGCAATACCTAACCCCTCGGGATTCGGGACATTTGATTAAAGATAAGAAAAAGACTTCTCTCTCATCCCCCCCCCTCCCCCCCACCATACACGTGTGCTACGTCTGAGATGTGTCGGTTTAATCCGCCAGAGTTTCCACCAATCACATCTCAGCTTAGTCAGCATTTTCAAATCAATGGAATCATATAACGTTTCATAATCTTGCTGGTCCGTTGTTAGCCTCATTTCTCCAAACTACCCTTGGAAATTTTTTAAATCCCCCCCTCCACCTCTCTTCTAGCTTTGTTTTTTATCTAGACAATGCTACGTGGAGTTAGAAAATAGAATTAAAAAATAGACTTGATAATTTCAACTATTGATTTTTCTGTGGGTCTCAGCATTTATTGAGACACACTACCTATTCAATGATTGAGATTATCGAGTCTAATTTTTAAGTCTATTTTTTAAGTTCATCTAACATTACTCTTTTTATTTATTTAAACATACACAATTAATACTTTTATTTTTTGTTGATAAAGGTTGAGATACAAACACACAACAAGATAGACACCGACATTAATAAATCTATAATTTATGATACACTTAAAAAAAATCTAGCTTTTTCAGGTATAGAAGCAAGTTTATAAATTCTAAAGACATAAGTCGTGTAATCGATGCAAAATACATGAATGGTTTAATTTTTTGAAAACAAATACTCACTAACCCAACTAATCACAAGTATTATAAATTCATAGTCCATGATCCACTCCAAAAGGGTCTAACTTTTGAAAGGATTTATAATAATTATTTTAAAGTATTAATTATTTATTTTTTAATCCAATGCTAACAATAAATTTTAGTTATAATTTTTTTTTATCTAAGTGAAGTCTACATTGAAAATTTAAAATCGTGGTATAAGTTTATCTAGGTTTGTCAATTGTGTCGGAGTGAGATGGGTTCATGTTAAAAAATTCTCTAATTATACTCGATTTTCTTATCAATTTATGCTAAAAGAATCATGTCATTTCGAATTCGTATCGTATATGAATCGATATATACACGAATTGTGTCGTGTATTTCTCTTAACTTAATTTCATCTATACTTGATTTGTTTATTAATTGTGTCATGTCAGGGACACTCATTTACAATTAGGTGACTTAAAGAAAACTTAAAATTTTATATTTTTATATCGTGTTAACGGATTATGTCATATTTTAACACCCATAAAGTAAATGTATTGGAGTAAAATATATTCATAAATGACAACATTTTTTGATTTTTTATTAATATATGTATTTTTTTGTTTTTGAAGTTAAAAAGATATAATATATTAAGGTTATAGATGATTAAAAGATTCGAATTTTAGTCTTAATAAACTTTTCATTTTTTTTGTAAATAAGTTATGTTTTATATTTCAAATGTACAAAAGATAAATTACTTGAAAGATATAGATGATCAAAAGGTAAGAGTTTACTTGTTAACGAATTTGAATTGTAATTGAATTTTCTTGTTAATCATTGTTTACTAAATGGGTCGTGCAAGAAATAAATCAATTTCATAACACATAATTTATACTTTTTAGACATACATTGATTGATATAATGGAGTAAATATTCAATGTATTGGTTATACCATGTTTATTATCATCTTGTGGTGCAATTGATTAATAATAAACAAATAAATAGAATAAGTAAACTTAAACCCCACTAATCTTATCTGATAACTAGTTTATTGTCTGTGTTTGGAGGCACAGAGTAATAAAAAATGATAAATAATAAATATATTTGTATTTATATCCAAAATTAAATTACAAATATAAAGAAGACATAAAAAAATTTAAATATTAATTTATAATGAGGGTGAGAGTGGTAGGCGACTATGGTGGTGGCAATAGCAATGGTGGTGGTGGTGGTGGAACGGCGGTGATAGCGGTGGTGGCAAGGGGTGACGGTGGTGGTAATGGTGGCAATGACGGTGGTGGTAGAGGTGATGGTAGTGGTCGTGGTGAAGTGGTTTAAATTATTATATTTTTTAAAGTATTTATGAAAAATAATTTTTAAAAATATTTTTAAAAGGTCACTCAAAATACACTTTTAGACCCCTATTTTTTCTATTAAATTTTGGGTGTTAATATTAGCCGTTAGATTAATTTTAAAGAAAAATTTAAAACGATCTTAACGCGAATAACAAAAATCACTTTGTTTATCTTTTAAAATTTAAATTGTAAGCTACTTTATTATATAAATTTTAAATGTAAAAATTATTAATAGTTATATAATTTGATAAAATTCACTAATTTTACATAACTTTTTTTTTTTCTCTCTCTCTCTCTCTATATATATATATATATATATATATATATAACAATCAAATTAGGTGAGAACCGACTTAAGAAATCTTTACTCTCACTTTTTTTTTATATAAATTAAAATTTTTTAATTCAAAATCTAAGATTCTTTCTAATTAGGCGTTGACGTTTGTCACGAGTAAATACTCACCAACTCTTTAATAATTAATTATTATTTTTTTTAAAAAAATTATTTTTTATCACCTAAATACTTAAATACAATTATTTATTTAACTTTTCAAGTAATAAAATAAAATAAAAAATTTTAAAAATACGAATTATAATCCCATACATCGGGCCGGCAACTAGAATATATATAGCGCAATGTATTTATCGCCATAAAACCGTTATTGTGGTCCCTAAAATCGAGGGACTAGTTAAAATATCTAAAGAAGTGGTAAACCTGTCTTTTCACTTCATAAGGGCCGGAAATAAAAATAACAATTTCCGCCATAATTTTTCTTCATCGTAAATAATAAACATAAACATTAAAAAAGCAACTTGTTCTCTTCTTCCCCAACCCATCATTTATTCACAGACCATTTCCTCTCTCTCTTTCTCTCTCTCTTCTCGCTCTTTCTGTGATCAAGTATCATCTTCTTCATCCCCATTCTCTCTCTGTCTGCACCGTTCGGTCAGTCACGCTTTCATCTTCATCTTCTGTCTAATATATATAGAAAATATATATTCAAAGCCTTTGTGTTTTGATCTGAATTCAACATTGATAGGGTTTATTTCAACTCTTCAGATTTCCGAATTCTTCGTCAAAGAATCGGCTAATTTGATCTCGTATTCTTCTCCAGGATCCTTGGCCAAATCGTTTCATTTTCAAAATCAATCCGTTTTACTTTAATTTTCGTAAAACACTCGACACATTTCGAAATCATATTGTTTTTAATTTTTTTTTTTCTAAATATAGACACATATAAGGCTCTATAGGGTTTACAGGATCAATAAATTAGGGTTTTTGTTAGGTCTGTTGAGATGTTGGGCGCTGGATTGCAGTTTGGGCGGAGTCGTAACGGAGAAGATCGATTTTACAGTGTGGCGAAGGCTCGGCGAAATCAGGAAAATCTTCGGAGAGCTCAGAGTGATGTTACTGCGAGTAAATCGTCGTCTTTAAAGGAAAAACCTTTGGTTCCATCGCCAAAGAGTCGGAATGAGTCGGAAGAGCCTCAGAAAAAGCCGGTCGCTTTGCCGGTACCGGACCCTGTGACGTCGTCGCCGTTGTGTAATCTGGAGCACTTTCTCGAATCAATTATGCCCTCTGTTCCTGCTCAGTATTTATCAAAGGTTGATAAAATTTAGTTAAAACTCAGTTTAGATTTTTTCTTTTTCGTTTGCTAGATATGAATCTCTGATTCAGTGGTGTTCTTATTTAATCGATAATTACAGACGACTATGAGGGGATGGAGGACGTGTGATGTGGAATTTCAACCATATTTTGTGCTGGGTGATTTATGGGAGTCATTCAAGGAGTGGAGTGCATATGGGGCTGGAGTGCCTTTGATATTGAATGACAGTGATTCTGTTGTTCAGTATTATGTGCCCTATTTGTCAGGCATTCAATTATATGGCAACTCTACGAAATCTTTGGTGAAATCAAGGTATACAAAATTGTGGTATTGATTGCTATCCGAGTGTATTTATCATTACGAATAATATAGCATTCAGTCAATTGATGTATGTTGGGATTGATCTTTCGTATTCATTATGATTTCCTTAATTGAAATAGGAGTGTCCGGTTGGTTGTCCTACTTTGCTGTTTAGTAGTTGGTAATTTTTGCTTGCAGTACAGAAGTGGCCTATTTTTAGTTATGTGCCATCTAGAGATATTTGTAGCTAAGTGTTATCCATGTAACATTTAGTATTCCTGAGGCATCCAAGTTGTGGTTTGTATGCAATGTTTTGCTTGTTTGAAAGGTGTGTTTTCTGTTGCAAGCTGTTTTCCGTCTTCTAAAGTTTTTGAGATGATCGGTATGTAGTGGAAGTCTATGGACAGTTCCAGTTGGGATGCTAGGCGGTAACAAAGTATACAAGTAGCTCTAAATGCATTTTCTAGTTACTTCAGATTATGTCTATACTGGAAATTTAACTAGCATTTGGTTGGTAACATGATAAATATTAATTGCTTGAGCTGCGAAGAGAATGGACTAAGGAATGATTGAGCCATGCTTTTTATACACTATACAGAGCGACCCTAGGAGATCAAGCATGATTCACTAAATGTACAAGATGATTTTTTTTTTTTTTTAAATCTGTTTGTTTGCTGACAAAGTCTAAGATCACAACAACAACTACTTGGCTTTGATACCTGATCGTTGCTCACATTGGAAACATATAGGTTTCCTTTTTCTAATTAAACCATATAGCACAGTGGGAGGGGATGCCCGTTGAAAAAGTCATTTTGTTCAACATTGGATGGGCCAAAATTTTCTACCATTTATTGCAAGACCTTTCTTACCTTAATTAAAAAACCAAATCTCCCTGGCGGAAAAATATATACGCCCTCTGCCTCCTATTTTTCTTTGTAGTCTCTTAATCAAATTCCATCCTTAGTCAGCTAGTGACCATGTCTGCCGTGGACATAGGGGCAATATCTGCTTCCAGTGTTGCCAGATGAATTCCGAGTCATTCTAGTTGAGGTATCCTATTGGTTCTCTTACATTCACCCTCCTAAAGCAGCATACTGTTATCAGGCAGCATTCTAGTGCGCACTCTGAAGGTATTATTGTCAACCTTCCTTGAATTTTGAGGTTCAATAGACATACAAATGGAAAATAATTTAGTTAAGTTTAATTGTTAGGTTCAGTAGGATATTCATTCAAGATCAAGGTTTTGACTTAATATCAACAGCATTTCTTGATATAAATGGTGGTGAAAAGTGAATCTTTGCCTTGGCTCCACTACAATGTAACGTACATTTTATATATTAACTTTTGTTAGTGCAGCTCATGTTCCTTGTTTGGACATCTCTCTCTCTCTCCTTCTCATGCTTGTGATTCTAACTTATAATTCGGAAATACCTTACATTTTAATTGGCAGATGTGGAGTTAATTTGTAGCTTAAAGTTCTAACAAGTACACTACCGAATTTCCCTATTTGAAGTCGATTGGTGTACATTTTATGCCCAAAGCATCTTTTATTGACCATGGATGTTTTTAATTTCTCTTTTTATAATCATTTTTTCCCTGTTGCTATTGTGCATTCTAACCTTTTAATTTTCTTTTCTTCTCCATTCTTGAATTACGTGCCCCCTTCTTAACCCTCTGAAAGTTTTATGATCTTAATAGACAGCATAAAACTTCATGGTATTAGTGAAGCAAGCCTCACTAACACACACAATGCACGCACACTTGCATTCTCTCCCTCAGCTCTTGTGCCGTTGGGTGAAAGTGAAAGTTAGGGGACCACACCCAACTGAAGCTACTATTGAACCCTACCAAATTGTTTGGGGGAAGAGAAAGAAAAGGGGGGGGGGGTTGGAACCACCATTTTTCTCACTTAATGCACCACTATTTGTTTAACCCTTGATATGATCATGATTGAATTGATTGTGAAATATTCATGTCTACTTATGTGCATCACAAGGACCTTTTCAGGCAAAATGTGCTGCCAAGTGTTTGGTAGCTGTGTATTGCAGTATATAGTGACTAGAGACATATCATGGTTAATTGCAGCATGAACATTATAAGTTAGCTGTTAGATGTATTAACTTGCTTGAGGGATAGTTTGCCTTTTAAAATGATGGTAGGAAGTGGTTGCCTCTTGTTTTCTTGATATTATTTGAAGCAAAATATTTGCCAAGTCAATTTTTGTGTGGATCTTATTCTATACTCAACTTAATTTGAAATGGACTATGTCTATATTTTTGTTGTTCAGGAAATTTTATGCATGCTTTACCTATTCGCTATTCCTTTTCAGCAACAAAGCTCTGCAGAATCTTATATTTCTAATGTATGCTTTCATTTCTTATTGGACATGTCATTAACATTTTTTTTCCTTGTGTGACAGACAACCAGGCGAGGACAGTGATGGTGACTATTTCAGGGACTCAAGTAGCGATGGAAGCAGTGATTGTGAATATGAAAGAGGTTGCTCAGGTTATTTGAGGGAGCAAAAGAGTTATCATCATCGAACAAGTGAGATTCCTCTAAGAATTGATAGGTTGTCTTTGAGAGACCAGAATATTGCCTTTCAAGAGGGCTTTTCTAGCGATGAGGGTGAAACTGGGAACTCTCAAGGTTTCCTGTTGTTCGAGTATCTAGAGCGGGACCAACCTTATAGCCGGGAACCTTTAGCTGACAAGGTTAGTTTCCCTTACCTTTGGTTGATACCCAAAACAATTTTTGATCTTTTTTAAGTAAAAAAACATTTTTTTTTTTTGGAAAGTTAAAAAAAAAATTCACTTTTTCTGAACTGCTTCATTTTTCCATTGTCACAGATATCAGATCTTTCCCACCGCTTTCCCATACTAAAAACACTAAGAAGTTGTGACCTACTGCCCTCCAGCTGGTTTTCTGTAGCCTGGTAATGATTATTGTATTCAGGCACCTGTTCTTAGCACATAGATATGCAGATACCTCTGTATGGGACTTACTGGCTTTGATGTGACTTCTATAGGTATCCGATATATAGGATCCCAACAGGACCAACATTAAAGGATCTGGATGCTTGCTTTCTAACCTTCCATTCTCTTCATATACCCATGACAGGTATCCGGAAACTTCTGTTGTCACTCAGTTGTACATATGTTGCATTCCTGCTTCTTATTGCTGTATTTGTGCATACGATATATCACCTGGGCACCTGGTCTTCCTCCTGTTTTTACGGATATGTTGTAAATGTATGATATGTTTCAAGTATATGGTGTCTTTATTGAATGCATTCCCACTTTCACAGTGTTACATTGGGAAGACTTTTTTGACCTTATAAAGTTCTGATAGTGCCTCATACACTGTTCTATTTGTACGATATAGTCCTTTTCCACCTCTTCTGTGCTCCTGACTTTTTTTTTCTTTTCAATTTCCAACTAGCATGAGAATCCTTCAAATTGTTGTCATCGCCTTGGGGTTTGCTCCTCCTCCAATCCCCCACCTCCCTAGAAGAAAAAACCTTAGAAGACATTATTTTGCCTACAGCAGTTTTGCTTGTAATTTATATTTCTGATAGAATGCTGTCTTCACTTATATTGAGCACTTTGTCCTTGCAGGCACTCAAGTTGCACATGCTCCAATTGTCACATATCCCACTGAGATTGACGGTGTTCCCAAGATTAGATTGCCAGTTTTTGGCCTTGCTTCATACAAGTTTAAAGCATCTTTGTGGACCCCTGATGGGAGATGTGAGCGCCACCTGGTGAACTCCTTATTGCAGGCTGCCGATAATTGGCTAAGAATACTTCATGTCAATCATCCGGACTTCCTTTTCTTCTGCCGTAGGTGAGATTAAGAGGACTTCTCTTTTGTTATTAGCCCTTCAATCTAGTGAGAAGCCCAACGTCTCTTGGTAGTTGCATGGATCGCCTTTACTAAGACTTGGTGGGGAGAATTTGAGTATCAGGGTTTCTCTGACTGTTTTCCTATTATTGATAGGTGTTAGCAATAAAAAAGGAACCCGAAAAAAAAAAAAAAAGAAAGAAAAATAGAACAAAAATGCTGTGGAATGGATGGAGGGCAACTATTATTGGGTGAAAGAAAAATGATTAGAGAAAATATGAAGTTACAAAAGGTGCAAGAGGGGCTGGATTAAACCAAGTTAAGCAACGGTTTGGCTTGTTATAAAAAATGTGAGTCTTGGTCGAATTTTCCTATATTTATTGTACACGGTATGAGTAAACAGGCTCTTATTTCTATCATGATGATTAGTTTGCATGTTGTACCGTTTTGTTTTACCATTTTAAGGGGATTTTGATAGAGAAGTATAAGAGGGTCAAGTTTAGCTCCCCTCCTTTGTACACTGTCTTCTTTTTAGACTTGAATTGTGCTTAAAATAGTAACATTAATGAAGTTATGGTTAGGCATATGGCTGTTTCAGAATTTCACACTTTGCTGGATGAATTTTGTTGCCCTTCTTGACTACCATGTGAGGATGTGTTTCATTTATGTTCTGAAAATGCGTGATGTTTCTGCGGCTTGCCTGTCGCATACTTGACTGCGTAGCTGTTTTTGGTTCCAGGTTTTGTGATTTTGCTTTCTATGCTAAATGAGTTTAGTCTTGATGTCTATTTTTTCCTGATATACATTCTAGATTTGTTTTTTGATGATGCATTTTTGCTTTGCATAAAACTATGGTGTATTGTTTACAGCTTTGATCTGTCTGATTGAATTGAGAATGTGTTTAGATTAGGGATTTGTCTCTCCACATGTGACAGGCTTCGTACGGGACAATTGTGTGAGGCTTGGTTTGACAATTGTGTAGATTTCGCTTGTCTGTGGACAATCTAGTCTGTGATAGTTGAGTAAATTGGTGATATCACATGATCATGACAATTAAATAACGACGCACCATATCTGTAGGGTATCTTTTAGATGCATGTCAAACATCTAGTCCTCATCGGTGCGAATTAGTATTCAGTAAAATGGTGTATGTGTTTGTGAGTGAGAGAGAGAGAGAGAGAGCAGTTTGGAGGGTCAATAGTGCAGTGATGATTTTCTTATTTTTTTTTTGAACGGTGCGGAAGTGGAGGATGAATAGCAGTGTTAGAGTCTCACAGGGAAAAGGGGGAGGAGAGAGAAGGGTTCTGATTTTCGAGTAAATATTGGTGTGTCAGTGAAATTACATCATTATTGTTATGTGATGTCACTATTCAATAACAAACTTACAAGTAAATAAAATAAATCTCACTTTTTAACACATGATGACTATCTTTTTATATAGTCATGATAGTTATTAAATTAAATGAAGTTTATTTACTTCTATGTTAGTTTATTATTGATTGGTAATGTCACGTAACAATTATGACGTGATGTCATTGTTATACTCAATATTTATCTATACATCCTTTGATACCCTCTCAACATCGGCAACCTTCCCCTAACACTGACCAGCACCCCTCCCCTCGATGCCCTTCATTTCAAGAATTCCATCCCCAAAACATCAAGAGAAAATATAGTGTGTAAGAGTGACAACACGTCACTATTATCACTTAATGCCACTTAAGACTAATCAACCAACATGTAAGCAAATAGACCTCATTTAATTTAGAAAATACTTTGTTCATGTAGAAAAATAAGTAACGTGTAAGGAAGTGAACTTTACTTTATCCACTTTGTTATTAAATAGTAACACAACATGACAATAATGACGTTACACCCAATATTTAGGGTTGCAAGTCGGGTGGGTTAAAGGGTCAACACAGACCCAATTGAAAGTATAAAAATTGCAACCTTAACCCAATTTGGGTTGAATTTAGGCTCATATCTAAACTTAGGCAGATTCTTCATTGGACTCCCCTTATTGTTTTTACCTGAAAGTTAGGAATGAGCAAACCAAAAGCAAATATGGAGAGATTAGAGAAGCGGAGAGTAGAAATAGAGAGGGAGAGCGATCAGAAAGACGAAGAGCAGAGATGGAGAGATTACAAATATAAAATAAGTCACTGTTGATATATTTTAATATTAATATATAATTTATTGTACCAATGTGGATTTATTCATATATATGGATACATTGTATATATGGATCTATTGATACATGTATCATACTTGCTCCTATGCATTAATCATATTTATGAGATGTATGTATAATACATATATATATATATATATATATATATATACATGAGTCATCTTTTACTATATACATGTATAATTAAATATATATATATATATATATATACACATTATTTTCTGTATGACTTATGTGCATGAATTGATTTTATTAGATGCATGTATAGTTACATACATGTACTTTGTGTATACATATATGACTTGAATACAAGAATTTTAAAAAGTTTTAAGAGCCAATAAATAGGACTTTTAAATTGGGCATTTGAAGATCTTTGAAACATCATCCAACACATTGTAATACTTCATAACAATCAATAGGTTTTTGGTTCAACGATACTCTTGTCTTATAAAAGTTTTGTCTTTTTGAGATCAAGAATTTAAGTCCCCTTTTCCGCCCCCCCCCCCTCCCCAAAAAAATAAAAAAGTTCATAACATACTACATACACTTAAGAGTACAAACCAAAGAAAAGTGTTTATATGGTAGAGGTTTGGATTTAACCATTTATGCAGAGTTGATTAGTGTCATACGAAGAAATTGTTAAATTGTTTTATTTTGAAGACGACAAATTAAATGAGAAGGTCTCTTACATCAAATTTGATTTTTGTCACTCGGAGAGGGTTTGAATCCACTTAAAAAGAACGAGATACTCGCACCTCAACTTGAGTTGTTTCGTATCAAATTTTTATTATTTTATATTTTTTTCTCAATTTATGCAATTAAACTAACAATTACTATAATTCGTCAGACAATAAATCGCAAACGAAACAATTTGAAAATTAAAAACAAAAGAACTATAGAACTACCAAGAGAGGATGGTTCTAGCTAAACAATAAAGCACTAACTCGAAGCTAGAACGCTATGGTGGTCGCACAAGAGACTTCAAGTCAAGTGGCACAACACATGGAAAGCAGCAGATACGAGATTTAGACGAGATTTTTTTCAAAAATTGTCGGGTTGAGCCCGATATCATTATTTCGTGCTGTCTAGGGATTTTTTTTTTTTTTTTGTCTTTTTTTTTTGTATTTTGTGTTTTAAAAGAAAAAAATGATAAAAATACTCTTCAATATCTTCATAACAAGCAAATATTCAATACAACAGTTCCATAAAGTCAACAGTATTATTAGGCAGAAAGCATAATGTGAATCTCATTTTTTTACATTAGATATTTATTTTATTATATGGATGAGTAATTACTGAATTTGGTGAGATTTATTTATTTATTATTAAATAGTTATATAATTTTTTAAGATGAAAATGGCACTAGCGACTAAACTCTAGGATCACTTATATATTTATTATCTTTAAAAATATGATTTCATTCGGTAAATAAAATTTGAATAACCCAACGTATAGGTTTTAGAAAATTAGGATTTGTGGGTAATTTATTTTATTTTCTCAAAAAAAAGAAAAGAAAAAGGGCACTGGATACCCGCAAAAGCCGGTCAAAAGAAACCTGTAAACCGGCACCCCGACAGTCCATTCCAGCCAAACTCCACCCACCACATTGGTAATAGACTCCAAAGTTGTACAAATTTTAGGTGTACTACACTATGCCAGTATTATCAATTAAATGATAATTCAATAATTACCGGAAAATGGACCCCACCACCTACTACTTCACTCCTCTGTCATTGTTCCTCCTCTCCATTTTCTCCACTATCGAAATCAAAACATCCAAAAACCATCCGAAAGCAATTGACAGCAATAAAGTTCTCTCTCTCTCCCCGAAACCCACAAAAAAGATTTAAAATTTTGAGCTCACCAAAAAGCCAGAAAACCCGTTTAAGCATATCAAAAGCAGCGTAAGAAAAAAGAAAACCAGAGAGAGAGAGAACAGGGAGCCAGTAATGGCAGTTTCTATCTCCATTCTGGCCGTCATCACATCTCTTCACCTAATCGCCTTCGTCCTCGCCATCGGCGCTGAACGACGTCGCAGCACGGTACTTCTACATGTTACACAAATATGCAAGTGTTTTTGGTGTTTTTTTTTTTTGGTGAAATTGACTTTGTGGGTATGTGTGTATTTAGGCCAAAGTGGTACCGGACGAGTACGATGAGCGCACCTACTGCGTATACGGTTCCGACGCATCGACGGCGTATGGGCTGGCGGCGTTTGGGTTGTTGCTGATAAGCCAGACGGTGGTTAACGGTGTTACTAAGTGTCTCTGTTTTGGTAAAGGGCTTATGGGTGGGAGGTCTAGTACTTGTGCTGTCTTCTTCTTCATCTTCTCATGGTAAAGTTACTTAATTCTCCCTCCCAATTAGTTTAATTACCATTTTCTACCACTGTTAACATCATCATGGTAAAGGTGTTATGTGGGTCCCCACTTGATTGTTTTTTTAAAAGCGATATGAGAAATAATGTGACCTTGTGAGGTGTTCACATGTTTATATTGGCTGTAGATGTAGTTGAGTATTTTTCTTGGGTAATTGTATTATATTGAGTGATGGATCAATGGTAAGTGAAGAGATTTTGGCTGTGTTTGGATTAACTTCTTAAAGTAAATCAAACTTTATAGTAAATATGATGATTGTCATGTAACTCTCCCAAGTCATTCACAAGTAAGAGTCGTGTGCAATGGATATGAACCATTCGATATTGGATTCTGTAAATTGGTGTCTCATAGGTCTCCAGTGGGTCACCAACGACCTTTGGTGGGTACTTATATATGGTAATGTAAACATGGATGCAAGTAAGCACAATTATAGCTTGGATAGTATTTTGGTAAAAAAAAAAATTTGTTAGCTAAGTACTGTTGGTAATGTTATCTTGTCACATTCATGACCTTCTAGGTCATTTGAGTAGATAATGTCATTTGAATTTATTGAGAGTAGTATAAGATATTTTCATGCTTAGGCAATTTTATATGTGCTTTTTTTCTCGATGGCCAAATGATAGATGATGGGATTCGAATCCTGGCGTCTATTAACCTTAATTTTAACAAGATAATCCTTGTATTAAGGTATGATTACAAAGAAATAGACTCCAGATTTCGGATCTCATTGTCTATTGTTTGGGAATGTATAGGGAGAAAAAACAAAGAGTTAATGAGTTGTGCAACTCTTTTGTTAGTGGTGCAAGGCTTGGAACTTGAATTGGGGGTGTGGAAATTTAGGTGTTAAGGCTCTTTGGAAGTTTTATGGTAGCCTTGTCATTGCATGTTAAAGGACAGAAAATTGCACTTCTTTTGGGCCTTTGGCTCAATTCAAGGGTTTAATTGACTGGCCACCTATAGTAGAAATTTTATAATTCACCAGAATTTTAGGCATGTATCTAGTGTAATGGTAATTTGTTGTGCACTTGATATGCTGGTATTCACATATGGCTCCTTAGTGTTCTTATTTTTTCCTCTCTTTTCTCTCAGCCTTCTCTAGCATTTATTTTCTTGTGGATCCCACATTCAAAGTGTCACTTACAGGCAATGATATTCTGTTACATTTCCTTCTCAAATTAAATTTTTAGTTTTTATAGAAAACAACATGACGCTATCCATCACATCGCTTGCTGAAGATATTTGTAGCATTTGGGAAAAATGGCTACAGGAAGGATGAAATCTTGTATGAAAGAATTATGCCATGTGCTTGGTACACTCATACAATAGAATGCGATTGTCTTTACTTCTCCAAACATAGAAACAATAAAAAACTCAATTACAAAAATTGTAGAATGGGTCGGACATTCACATGAACTAACTTCTTGTATGATTATGTTATTACGTTTGTAACATGAGTTCACCATTAATGCTACCATTCAAACAAAATATTGTTTTGGAGATAGATTTTTTATTTGATTAAGAAAATAACGAGATAAAGGGAAATCAAGCATATGTGGAGAAGAAGGAAAGTGGGTCTCAAGAGCAGAACCCACAATTCCATACCATCCTGGCAATTTTGACTGAAGGAGCACCTGTGGAACCTTATTAGCCAAACAGGCTTTTTCCTACATGGCTATGTGAGAGAGGGAGGCACAGTTAATAAAGTTCAGTCAACAATTACCTGGATGGTATGGATTTGTGGGTGCCAAAATTGAAAGAGACGGGAAAGATAAGATTGAAAGAGACATGAAAGATAGAATAGAGGTAAGAGACGGGAAAGATAAGGAATGTTTTGGAACTACCCACCCGATCTATCTTCATATAATTCCTTTGTTTTCCGCTGTATTTAAAGAATAACAATTTGTTCCCATAAAAAACTATTAGCTTAGACATCAATATTGGTTCATGTCTGGCTTGGCAGCATGCCATTCAGCTTTCTATTTCAGCATCCTACCACTCCTTATCACAAAATTGGCATCGTGATTAGGAGTCGTTGGGCTTTGATATAAATCAGAAGGTGACTCAATGCCTGAGGATCTATGGACCTTAGGAACGATAGTCCATTCAACTACTTAATAGTTTTGCAATCTTTTTATAGTGCTCGCCAGTGAAGCTATGATATTCTCTTCAGTTTGTTTCAAACTGACAAACTATAGAGAAACAAACTTGCAATATATTGAACTGCTGTAACGTAGATTCTTGAATTATATTTGTGCATGAGTGATTTGTTTCAGCTTAGTTCTTGCATGTTTGGCAATGTGTTTTCATGAGCCAGAGCTTGTTAAGAAAGGCTAGCTTGGTATCATCTATGTATGAAAAAGTAATACATTGAGGAAAAGTAGTGGTCAACGTTTACAGCATAATACATAGACCATCATTTACCATTGACTGCTGGAGTCCTTTACTTGGACGTGAGGTTTATGCTGCTACAATTGCAGAATATGTGCTTGCAACATTTCATCTGCCCGTTTGAAGCAAAATTGACCTAATGTTTTAATATGTAGAACCTAGAACTTTGGCCCTGATATCTATTCCTCCCTTTCACCATTTTCCTTTCAAGACTACCACTTGTAGTGAGCTGTTGGTTTGCATTTAATGAACACAGGGGTGATACAATTTGTAGGTTTAGGCAATTTAGGCATTCTCTAACTAATGTTGATAATGGTAGAAAGCCAATGCCTTTTAGTGGCTCTTGGATAAAGAGATAATGCAGTTTATCCTATCTTTATTTTTTTTCCATTTTGCTTGTAGTAACATTTGCACAAACAAACAGGGTTAGCTTTTTGGGCGCAGAGGTGTGCTTATTGGCAGGGTCTGCAAGGAATGCTTACCACACTAAATACCGAGGAGTCTTTGGTGGAGATGACTTGTCATGTGCCACTCTCCGCAAGGGTGTGTTTGCCGCAGGGGCTGCCTTGTCATTGTTATCTATGGTGGGCTCAATTGTTTATTATTGGACCCATTCCAAGGCTGATACAGGTGGTTGGGAAAAGCACCACAATGAAGGACTTGGTATGGCCACTTCTAATTTTACTGAGAATCAGGAGCAACAAAGAGCTAGTGAGTTTGAAAAAGTATAACTGTGGTTTGATCAGACTACTAGACAGTTTGGGGGTCCTAAGTCGAGGTAAGGATGGACAGATATGGAAGAGTCCTTGTTGAAATATATCTATAAACATAATTTTGGAGAAGAAAATATAGAGTTATGCTTGTTTACAGTCATTCCTGTACCCTGACATTTTGTCTTTTCTGTACCTTGTTTTATAGTGGTTACCTCTTAATTTACTGTTTGTGCTGTTAGTTTGTCAACTTTCTGGCTTTTGATATTGTGATTCACTTTTGATGTGCTTCTGCTATTTTGTTCAATATTGGTGTCATCCTGTGCGGATGTCACTCTTCGATGTAAATATTGTTACCCTACCTTGGCTTGATTCTTAAAGTGAATGCCCTTTGTAGGTGATTGGAGCATAAGATCTCTTCTTTCTTTAATATAATGGATGGACGTTCTTGATCATATGAAATTCATCGACATACTTTACATCCATGTGTGTGCAACCGAAGTTAAATGACTTGAATTTGTGCCAGGATACTTTCGAAAAAAGATATACCTTGATGGTAGAATTCTTGTATCCCTCAGTAACTGTTTCAGGTGGTGAGATGAAACAAAATTGTGCCCTAAACGTATCGAGTTAAGAGGAGAGCTGTATTGCTTTTACAAGAACGCTTGTATTCCTAGCCCCGAGTCTTTCATGTGCAGGACTTGATTCAGCTTGCTTTTAGTTCAATTTGTGCCTGTCAGATTTTACAAGGCTGCTTAACTGGACTAGAAAATAGGCACACATGCCTACGCATACAGACACAGATGTACTCAGACACATGCATGGGCGCGCAGAGGATGAAGAGCAGCTTGCATGAAGTGCACGCACGCAAGTACACACACTTGATATTTGTGTGTGTGTATATAGTTATGTTTGTTTGTGGGTAAATTGGTGCTAGGGAGGTGGTTTTTACTTCTTGTCCGATCTCTTTTGCTTATTCTGTTACTGCGTGTTAGTCTGGGACATTCTTTGGGCTGTAACTTTCTGCTTAGGCTCTTATCTACGTAATGTTGTAGGGTGTTTTCTTCCTTAATTTTGAGAATTCCTTATACGATAATAAAATATCTGAGAATTGTTTTGCACATCTTACAAAACTGGTGGCTGAAGCATGAATGCTACTCCAGCCACCCAGAAAATCACTGGATTCGTTTGGTTAGGGTCAAAACACGGAAAAGTGCAGGAAAATTAAAAAAAAAAATTAACTATTCCTTTGTTTGATTTGCTAGATAGTACAATTTCTCGAGAATTTTTTTTTACCCCAAGGTTTCTCTAATTTTTACCAAATTTTCATTTCATTTTCTATAATTATTCTGCTTAAAAATTGGACCCTTGGTTTCCCAACAATTGTGCACCCGTGAAGGTTGTCTTATTTTTTTTTATGTTTTTTTCACTTACCTTTTTTTCTTAGATTGATATTATAAGAATAATTATTGCACTATTTTTTTTAGTAAACTTTTTATTCTAATCAAATGAATATAAAAAAAATAAAATTTCCCTTCTTTCACTTTATTTTCAATTTTTTTTTTAATTTTTCATCATCAATTTCTTTCCGAGCAAACGGAGTCTTTCCAAACATTTTCTAATGTGGGATTGTAACATGGTGCTTATGTTTTTAGATTAGAGGCACCCCCGAGCTACTTCCACGCGAGGAAGACCTCAACCACCGGTTACCAATGGCTTTTATTTTATTGAGAAACAAATTGAGATATAAATCCCTTTTTGCCACTTAAAAGACACAAAAATTATTAGTTTGCCTCACAAAAGATTAATTTTCTTCATTGCCCCTTTAAAAAAAAAAAAAAAAACGTTGTAATATGATCCATCATCTTATTTCTATTTGGTCATTCGCCTGTTTTTTGTTAAATCAACCAATTAAAAATCACAAAATAGACGGACAATCAAATATAAATAAAACAGTGTATCATATTACAACATTTTTATTTTTTTGAGGGGACAACGTGAGAAAATTAATCATTCAAGAGACAAATGAGAATTTTGTATTTTTCAAGGACAAAATGGGATTTTTTCCTAAATTTATTTTTTTTGGTTATATCGTAGTTGTTAAATTGCTATTTCACAGTCAAAATAATTAAATACAATGATCATTTTGCGTTAATTACACCAATCATGAATTTTTTTTGAAGATATATTCTGCTCCAGGTAAATAATTTGTGAATGCTACAACGGGTAAAAGTGGCCCAGGACTTCATTAGTGTGATATTTACCATTGTTATTGTTGCTCTCTATGACGGGTAAAGATACTCTCGACGGATTATTTTAAAATCATGAGATTTGAATTCAGGTTGAATAAATGGTGAGACGTAAAATCATACATCCTGAATTTATGGCTTTCTAGGTTGTATATAATTCGGGTGGTCAATATCCGAGATTTATGGATGATTGTGTGCATTCGAGATTTGTTTCAAGTCACGAGTAAAAATCCAATACATTTTACATGATCTTCATAATCAAAATAAGAGTCTTGACATGCCCTTCACTTGAACTAAGTTGAAATTTCTCTTATCACACAATTTATCAGGAAAAACAGATTAATTTGAGCACTTTTATTATCAGCAAACTGAGCTTACAAGCACACCATAATACATACTAGGAAAAACCCATTACCACACTGATTCCAATATTATAGTCTAGCATAAGATGAAGTTACTATATATATTCCAATACTATCCCACACTTTGATGAGAGAGAGGGAGAGAGTACTGTAGATTCACATACCAAAATGCCTAGCAACTAGGGAATGGAGTGCCACAAGTGGTAGCCACCTTCCTGGCATTTGGGGAGTTGATAAATTTTTGAAGGTTTGGGTCCTTCAAGTACTTGCAAAGACAGGGCTTCTGTTCCTTTAGCTTACTGCAGCATATAGGTGTGGGTGTGGTGGAGGATGTGATTGCACTTGCACATGGGCTCAGCTGAATTGGGTTGCAAGTGACTGCAGCCATGGACACCTGAGCTCCCCCAAGGAACAAAACAAGCACAACACACAATGCAGCACAGGGCATTCTCATCTTCATGACCATTAATGTGTGTGTGTGGATGAGAGAGAGAGAGGTCAAGTTGGATATAGGCATCTTTCCTACTCTTAATTTATAGTGGGAATTGAAGAAAGAAAGGTGCCAATGGGCACCGTACCAAAATTGATCATAGTCTTAGATTTTAATTAGATGATTTTTTAACAATCAATTCAAAAATTCATAAAATAATAATAAAAAATATTCGTATCACGTCTTTATTGAATAAAAAGTAAAAATACAGCACTAAAAAATAATATTTCGATACCTTAATCCGACTAAAAAAAACGTGAATTCAACATAAGATTTATACTCTTTTCCTACAAAGAACTTTAATGGCACCAAAGCTAATGTCTCTATCTGAAATTTGCTGTTCATTGTGGGTTCAGTGTAAATCACGCCACAATGATTGTTCTTTAAAATCCCTTTGGTTTTGTGCCTAATGATGATGATCATTTAAAAAAAAAAATAATAATAATAATTCCAATAATTGCCCAAAGTTTTATACTTGAGAGATGTTTGCCTTTCTCTCTACTCGTAAACCATTATTTTTTAGATTAAGTTATAAACATACATTTTATTATTGATCCTCTCGTTTTAGTCTACTCTAATCAGATTGAGTTGATATATCAACCATATTACTTTATAATAATTTTAGTATGGTACTAAAAAAATCCGAAATCTCACTCATACTTGTTGTCTTCTTAAATTATTTGATTTTCAGTCTTATTTCTTCTACTTTTTTCTTTCAATAGAATCTTTGCATGTTGTTTATAAAACATTGGGCCATAATAAATGCACTTTACATATCTTGTTCCAGTATTGAGAATCTGATAAGATTGTGTATATTTTTACTGTTTGGAGTGTTGGTGTTTTTTTTTTTATGGAGTCTAGTTTGTATATGTAATTCGGATGATGACCCGACTCGAAGTAATGTTGTGTGATTTTTTAATGGAAAATTTTCTGAGGTTTAGTCCATGGAGCGAAGGCTTGGGCCGATATAAACCCTGTTATTTTGGGCCCGTTATACAGCCCAATGCGTAGGACATATAAACCCTGTTATTTTGGTGATTAGGGATTATTGTGGATTGTACAGCCGCTCTCTGTATTCAACTCTCTCAATAGTGAAATCCTTGCAGCTTCGTGGACGTAGGCAAATTGCCGAACCACGTAAAATCTGTGTCTTGTTCTTTCTTGTTTCTTATTGTTTTATATTTTTGATTTGTTCTTCGATTGTGTGTGTTTGTTAGTGGATTTAAATCGTGTGAAATCCCAACATGGAGTGCTCTTAAAAAGAGACAAAAGAAAATTTTTATAACCCCGCTTCGTAATTCTAACCTTTTTTTGATAGGTAAATAAAATTTATTTTTTTAAAAATTTAAGAATATTACAATAAAGCTTCAAACGCGTCCCAACGAATTTTCAGAGCAGATCTCATAATAAGAAAAGAGCTCTTCACAACCTAAAATAAAAGACTCAAAGTAAATCCGTCACTGTCCAAGATCTTAGATGCACAAATTAAGAAAGATCTCTAAATTAGGTGCCACAAAAGTGGACACCTTATGACCCCTTTTTAATTCAATAATCAAACTCATGGGACGCGTGAATAACATCAACAAAGATTCATTTGAATACAATTAATCCCGTTTCAATATTAATAGGGATTCACTTGAGTACAATGAATCTTATTTGAATTCGTGTTTTGTGACCTAATATTGAAAATTTGAGAAAATCTAATTTAGGAGTGGATCTTAATATGGATTAAAAGAGGGGTTTTTTTTTTTTTTTTTTGGAACTTAAATTCACTAGAATAGACCAACTAATTTGGTTTGGTCCACTTTATACTGTGGTTGGTCGCACTCGAAATAATCAAATCACATGTGATGATGTGCATTATGACTTATTCCATCACAATGAAGAAGTATTCTTCTTAGTCCAAGCAATCATTAAATTTGAATTTTGTCAACCAAAAAAAGGCAAATTATATAAATTTGCATGCTTAAACTAAAGCTCTAATCTAATGATGTTAACCTTCTACTATTTAGTTTCTCAAATTATTCCCTTAACTAACTTTATAATATCTCAAAATCAAATGGCATTTATGTTTTCGAAGAAAATAGATCCACGGGCGGTTAGATTTTAGAACAAATTTAACCTCAATCTTATAGTTAGAAAGATAAATTGATGGAACTTTCGATCAAAATTTTAATGGGTACCTGCAATTGGAATGTTAGGGGTGCAATATAAGAAATTTGACAATTAAGAGAATAATGTGAGACTAAAACATAGTTAAAAAGATCGAAATGCATTTTTTCTTTCAAAAAAATAGATTAAATTTGCATGATTCTAATAGTGTGATAATAGAAAATAGTGTCACAAGTGATAATGATGAAAGAAGGAAAAGATTTGTATAATAATTTTTTATATATTTAACATCTCAAGTGTCTAGGAGTTTGATAGACAACAATTAACATTGATTAAGAATTGAGTTGTCAAGGTATAATGAGTTTGAGAGATAAAACTATGTACATGTGATTCTTCTTGAGTTTTATAGTGGTAGAAAAGTCATACACTACATTATACTTTCATGAAAACTTGAGTACTCCTTTTTATTAAGGAGAAAATTTTGTGGCTACAAGAATATTTATATAGAATTACAACAAATATTTGTATTTGAAAATAATCTCTTTGCACGTAGGATTAAGATTATGTATATCTAACTCTCTAATTATTCACCTCAACTTTTCTCTTCTTCCAACAACAAAGTCAAATGCTTATCTCCATACTTTGCTTTATAGATAATGTAAAACTTACAATCAACGCCTCTCAATCTTTAAAGAGAAAAATGGATATAAAGATTTGACAATGTGGGATCATAATCATTATAAGAAAATAGTAAGAATTTATAAGTTGAATTACAGCAGATAGAAACAATCTTTTTGTACGAAAGGACTTTTAACTCTCTTTAAATCCTACAATAACCAGAGTTTTGTGCACCAACTCAATCTTTTTGTATGAAGGGACGTTTAACTTTCTTTAAATCCTGCAATAACCAGAGTTTTATGCACCAACCCAATGAATTACTAATCTCAAATTTTCTCTTCTACCACCAACAAAGTCAAACCCTTATCTCCATGCTTCTCTTTATAGATAATGTGAAACTTACAATCAATGGCTCTCAATCTTTAAAGAGAAAAATGGATATAAAGATGTGACAATGGGGGAGATCATAATCATTATGAGAAAATATATTATGGTTTGACTAATGGAGGCCATAATACTCCCAACCCAACTCCATTTGCTATAATACTTTGCATGCTTTTCGGTGATGTGATAGCCATGCATTTGCATGCTTATTTTTCACTTTGAATCTTTTGTTTGTTTGAAAATGACTCCACCACTGCTGGGTCCCCGGTCTAACGAGTTGACTCGTTAACCCGACAAGCCATCAAAAAATGAGTCAATTCAGCCCGTCAGGTGATGGCACTTGAACCCGAAAGGATAGGATCACGAGTCATGATTTTTGGCATACTTGTTCTGACAGGCCTGCCCGATCACGACCCTTGAAGGGCATTTGCTGTGTAGAGTCATGACCCGATCCATTGGCTTGACAATTTAAAAAAAAACAAAAATAAGGCTCTCGTAAGTGCGAAGTTTGAAAAATGTTAAATATATATAATCTTATCTCAGATGTAAATAAATTGTTTCCACGTGTTAGACGTTATAAAGTAAAAGTAATCTGTAACTGATCGGAGATTAAGACCGCTTCTTTCTTGATATATATAGTAATGGACAGATATTCTTGAGCATATGAAACTTTTTTACTTATTTTACAACTACATGTATGCCCAACCGAAATTTTATGGCTTGAGTTTTTTTGCTTTCTTTTTTGAGAGTTGAGTGTTTCCATCTCTTTAATGTTGATCTTAAGTGGGAAAAAAAAAGGTTTAAAAGTAAGAGATTTAAGTGGCCCTTATTTTGATTATTTGCATCAAAAATAATATTTTGTTTGATAATTCAATGGAGACAAAGACGACTTGTAAATTCAGATATTTGAATTCAAAACTTGACAACTTCGTTATAAGTAGGTTATAAGAAATTTATATCTCTCATGGTAATTTCCGACTGAGTAGCTTATTGTTTATTGAATCGGGAGAGAGAATTAGTCAATGTATACGTAAGCCGATTCAAACACTTTTGATTACAATGTGACAAAAAAAAAATTAGTATTTTGTCGGATTGATAACCTAACCTATAGAAGTATTCAGATGCCTAAGTGGCTGAGGATTGTAATATTTGTCTTTCTCTGGAATGGTTTGGCTGAGACTAAATTAAGCTAGCCCACTGGAAACAGTAAGATTTGGCAATTAGCTAAAAAAACTAGTATCAAGTACTTAGCACATAGAGCACAGATAAAAATATATATGTGTCCATTACTTTAATACATTTATTCTTCATTTTTTAAGCAAATTATCCACTATTAATGAGTGAAAAACCCACTTGAATTCACAGTAGGTGATTCACTCAAAAAAAAAAAAAAAAAAGAAAAAAATATATTGACGAGAGTCATTAGGTTAGGGACATTATACAAGGGACGAAAGAAAATTATAACCACTAATCTAGGAAATAGGAATATAAACATGGGTATTGTATTCGATTTGATATGAAAATACAAATACGAACATATAGGATGCGGCTAATCAAAATAATATTATAAATTTTTTAGATAATAATAGAACTAAATCATATTTTATAACAATATCAATAATAAGATCTGGTACATATTAAGTTTTTTTTTTATTAAAATTAAAATACATCAAAATAAGCATCTATCATTTTCATTTAATATCATTACGTCCATTAACATTAATATTCCATAAGTTACATAACAAAAAGTACAGAAATAAAATGAAGTAGTCCTACACCCCTTTTAATAGTTAGAAGTAGTGAGATTAAGAAAAAATTCTGTTGTATTTTATCTGTATCCGACTGAATTTATTATTCAAGATATTTCTAACCGTGCTAGGGCACCCCTTGGACGGATAACGATAAGTATCCTTGCTTCTTAACCACTAAAAATATGGACGATGATTGAAGTACTAAAGTGTTCTACTTCATTCCCCTATGTTCTTGACATGGAAAGTTGAACGCAAAACTGTTTCTACAGACAGAGAAATAGGAATATATCTACAGGTCGGAGAGATTTTCTAAAAGACAAAAACACTTCATGAGCTAAAGGTGTTCTGATTCAAGAACAAAGCAACTGATATTGCTATACAAATAAATCTCTGTACCACTCCAGATGTTGAGGAACACGATCATGTCTTCACAAAGTAACGAACTTTGAGAGATAATGACAACTACCAATCAATAATTGGTGTTGCGAGTCTACATTGGGAGCCTCAGCCACCGCTCGCGTAGCTGGTCGAGTATGAAAGCCATGTTGTCGGACTAGCTTGCACATTCACAATTGATCCGCTTGGGGTAGATCTCTGGAAATTTTCAGGCAATAGTACATAATCATTGCATGAACAATCTGATTAATCCACTCAGCATATGTATCAATTTCGAAGTCTGTGTGGTCGTCTGGTGGTAAAAAAATACAATTTTAGCAAGAGAAATTTGTAACTTGGATAATAAATACCAGGAAAAAGTTTTTCGTTTTGTTAAGTTCATAAAACTCACACCCCCCCCCCCCTTTTTCCTCTTCCCGTCCTCTATGTTATCGACTAGTTCAAAGCATAACAAACCAGCTAGTCCCCTCGATTTTGTATTTGGTACATATGTTTGATAAGAGCTACATTATTAAGTTATGCCAATTTTTTCATATGTGTACACACTCAGAAACACTTACTCGCGGACTGCACCTTGCTTGCAGAAAATAAAGAATACAACAGAAGAACGTTAGGAAAGATGTAATTTCAACTTTAAAATAAATAAGTTCAATTGAGAAAAGAATGGACCTGGCTAGGCATATGGTGGATATCATCAGCAATTCTTGTCACAGGTGGTTGAGAGCTAGATTCCCTTTGGGTTGAGCATCTTGCAACATAAATTGATGGCGCTACGCTTATTGAACATACAGCAGTCATTAATTGGGAAGAATTGTACCGAAGTTGCTGCAACAGAGGGACTGGACGAAATCCTGATCCATACAATGGATGCAAACCCGTGACTGCTGACATTGGTGGATACATGCTATACATTCCCATTCCAAATCCAATGTCCGTCCCCATACTCGGCCTCATGACCATATGAGGAGAAAAAAGGGGTACTAGCATGCCTTGGTACCTGATTGGTGGCATGTACAGAGCTCGGTATGGAGCACCTCCCCCCATTGTCATCGTCTGATTCATTTAAAACGATCAAAACTCATAACAATCACAACATATGCAAAATGCATTTTGGTGTTGATTTGAGGTGTGCAAACCTTTTAAGGCCCTTAACCTTTTCTTTAGTATCATATGTTCGTAATATTTTGAACAAAAACTATTCAAAAGACACACACAACAAGGGGAGAGATCGAGAAAATTCATACCTGAACTTGTTGCTCTAGGGTTTTTATGTATTCAATCACGTCATCAAGCACCTTGACCAGTGGTGGATCCAACAACTTTAGAGTTGAGGGACCAAATAAAAAAAACAATAATAAAATTATCAAAAATACAAAGGGGCAAAAGAAAAATTACTTAAATCGAAATTCAGTAGCCTTCAAAAGTCATAATCTACTTTCTTCCTTGACTGAACCTTCGCCCTACTGTCAACAAAATCACATTCAATAGAAAGAACAAGAAGGGTACAACATAGAATGATATCCCAATGAATTTCAATATGGTAAATGGAATGAAGCAGACTGTAGCCTACCGAACCAGCTATGAGTAGATCATCTACTTAGACAAGAAAAGAGTGTGTTGGAGCCTTGGAGGGCTTCAAGATACAATTCACTCTGTGAAAATCGAAGGACATAATAATGGGTCATAATCAATATAAATATGGTCATTTTCGTTATTGTGTTAGGTGACATTTTGCATTTCTGAGCATGCCACACACATAAACTATATTAAGAAACCCTACTTAGTGAATGAAAGATGATCAAGCATTAATGAAGGACCTTATGGCTGTTGGGTATCAGTTCCTGCAAAGTTTTGATCTTCTCCTTAACACGGTCCCCGCATCTCTGTTCCAAAAAAAAATGCAAAATTATAAGAGATATTATCTAGTAAATTTCTGAAGAATATTGTGATGATAAAAAATGGGTGTCAAAACAAGACAGAAATTTGCTAGTTATCATTAAAAGAGAACTAATTGTTGAGCATATAAAAAAAGTCAAAAAAAAAAGTCGAGTGACAAATTTTTCTTTTTTTGACAAAAATTGATCTATTTGAATCTAAAGTATCTATTCTAACAAACACATATTGGAAAATGTATACATCTATTTAAGTACACACGTGTTGTGCAAGGTGACTTCATATTTTAGAATTAAAGCATACAAGTGGTATAAAAGTACTGATCCATTTGAAAAATAGACAATAGCATAAATTTTGGATAATTTATATCCTTTTATGCCTCCATATTTTCTCTCTAACCTTATGCTTATGCATCTGTTCCTCCTTCAATATCCCATGGGCCTTTAACCCTAGCTTCATACAGCTCTTCCTCCTATAGTGTCATTTCTTTCAACCATTTGTTTCTATGATCTATGGTTTTCTAATATTAGTATCTCTTGTTCCTATCTCCATTGCGATGTCTTAACAAAATATTTACCACAATTTCTTTATTTTCGCATGATTATTGCTTTTCGCACGGGTTCCAAGACCAAGGGCAAGATCATAAGGCTTCGAGTCACACTTATAAGTTAACTGTTGGATTGAGAAAATGAAAATGCACCAAAAGGCTATGTCTCAACCTGTAGTAAAATATGCCCGTATGAACACAATAATAAATTACAGAATATAAAAGTCAGAATACTTAATTTACTAATCCCACATAGGGTTACATATCATCCGACCATGTGTGTGTTTTTCGCAAGAGTTCCACTATTTACCTTATTAATAAACTAGTTATTTTCTGTGCCTGAAGGCACGAAATAATAAAAAAAAATAGTTAACAATAAATATATTTGTATTCGCGCTCAAAATTAAATTACAAAAATAGAGAAAAAAGAAAGAAATTTAAGCAGCAGTTATAATGGAGCGAGCGATGGTTGACAGCAGTGGTGATGGTGAAAGATAATAATGATTATGAAGGGTGAAGACGTCCGATTGTGATGGTGGCAGTTGTGAGTGACAATGGTAATGGTGGTAGTAGGGGTGGTGGTGGTGGCGACCATAGTGGTGGTTGTTGTGGAAGAGGTGGTGGAGATGGGGGGTAGGGGTTGGGGTGGGGCAATAAAGGTGGTGGTAGGATAGCGATAATGGCGGTGATGGTGGGACGATAGGAGTGGTGGTAGTGGTGGTGGCGACGATGGTGGTAGTTATTGTGGAAGAGGTGGAGGGGGTTGGGGTGGGGCGATAAGGGTGGTGGTAAGGTAACAGTAACGGTGGTTATGGTGGGGCGATGGGAGTGGTGGTGGGTGTGGAGGTAGTAGGACAATTTCAAACACTACTTTTTTTATATACTAATGAAAAGTTATAAGTTTTATAAGTACTTTTAAAAAGTTGTCACAAACACATCTTTAGGGGCCCAATTTCTCTTTGCCACAAACACATCTTTAAACATAATAATATGTTGAGTGATAATAAAAAAGTTCAATAGTTACGGTTTTAACAATTTATTGGCTTATGTTATTATCATATTATTAAGTCAATAAATTATATTAATTTTTTAGATCTAAATAACATTATTCAATGACAAAAATTATAATATATATCACATATACACACTTCAACTAATCCTCTCTTCGATTCGATTAAAAACAAATCATCTATATCATAATTACAATATCCAAAAGTGATTGCCTAGTCCAAGGAATTAAAAAATATATATAATTAATTACAAATAGTTAGAATAAAAGTTGGGTTGAGTTGAGTGGTCTCACTTTCTCAGACATTTTATGTGTTTCGGCACAACGTGTCCTCCTCCTGGCGCCAAATCATCTGCATTTCTCTTTGCTTCTGTTCCCCTTTTTTCCCCATCATTTCTCTGAAATTAAACCAAAATCAGAGAGAGAGAGAGAAACTCAAACGAATGAATGTACACAGTACATTAACCTAAACAAAAACCAAGTTTTCTCTTTCATAATATAAAAACACTGACTTCAGTTTGAGTCCATGGATGTTGTTCAATTTCCAATTCATTGGACTTCCTCTTCGTCCCACTGGATTCGCCCTTCACCATCTCAAGATGTGATTGCGTAAAATGAAGTTCAACTTCTGATAGATGATCATTAGTTTCTTCTGTTGCATGGAACGTCGGAAGCGACGAATGAGGCTCATGGAGTACAGATATATCTATGGGATGTGGTTGCTCATGGACATTTTCTTCTACCGTAGAACTCAAGTCCCAGTTTGGCACTTGCTCACTCATGTTAAGCGGGAAAATGATAAGACAGAGGAACCTAGAGAAGTTATAGCTAGTATATCTATATGTATGTGCGTATATATATACTTGTACTCAAACACACACAAAGCTTGAAGACAAGGAGTTGGTGCTGTGGCTCAGTACGTAGTTGGCACTTGGCAAAGGAGATGATGGTCGTGTTGGCACTTGGAAACAGGTGTTTGGCACTTGGGAAAACAGCTGTTTAGCACTTGGTATGGTTCGAGTTTCGGTCTACAGACTACAATTCTTAATTCTGATTGATTCCTCTTTTGTCTGTGAGTTTAACCTTAACCCATAGTCAATGTTTGGGTTTTATTCCACGAATCCCTTGGTTGATAAGTTCAACGACTCAGTTGCAGTGCGGAATTTAGTTTAGCAGTAGTGTCAAATTTAGTTTCCCCTCTGGTGAATCTGATCTATAATTAGGGGTAATACATACTAAATAGGTCAACGAAAGAACACATACAAGAATATATAACCAACCCACCATTTTGTATAACTTATTTACATTAGTGAAGCCATAAAAAAAGTGCACGTTTGTTAGACATTAGTCGGGATGCATAGGGGAGTCAATCTACGAGCACGGAAGAGCGTGGTACTGTTACCCCTCCCTAAGTAAAGGTCAAAATCTTAGCTTTGTTGATGACTCCATCTAAAATAAAAAAAATAGGCAAAACTATTTCCGGCTGCTCGTTTAGAAAATGTAAGAATTTGGCATAGTTGTTCTCGATCACCAAATCAAATTCCCCCTTGACATTAGTCATTGGAAATTATTTGAGCTTACATTAGTTTAATTCCATTTAATTTTCTTATTTCGCACGACTTCTCTTTTTCTTTTTCTTTTTTTCACATGAAACGAAGCGACAAAATACAAAATTTCAATAAATCGCAAGATCACTATGCATTCACGTCTATTTTTTTTTACAATGCTATTATGAAGGATTTATTTGCCTGAAAATATTACTAGCCTCGTAACGAGGGGTAACAGACATTGACGTGATCAGCCAGCATGCGAAGGAAATCTAGGCATGAAGAAATTGTACAAGAAATGATATATAGTTACAGGGATGAAAATTGATGAATGATCATAGTTAACCCGTCATGTGCTATTTTTTCTTTCCTTTATTGTAACTTTTGTTTTCTTGATCCAATCGCAAAACTCTTCAATTTTGCGATTAACTAAGGCTAGTATCAAGTAGTTGGCACTTAAATTAGATAAAACATGCGTCACACTGAAAATGCAACAAATCTTACTATCGATTGTATCTGATATTCAATTACTGATTGGATTCCAATTTCTTGATGATTATATATCCAATAGATGAAGTACATTAAACCCAGAAAAAGAAAAAAATCATAACATTAATCCATTAATTTGGGCAGTGATCAAATGATAGTATGTTGTTGTTCACCTCTACCACCTATAGAAGGAAGGTCTAATGCAAAAGAGTTACTACAGTAGGAGAAAATCTAATAAGGATGATTGACATGTCCGAAAAGTGGGAAGAGCTAAAGGAGCATACATTCCCTACATATATATATCCAAGAACTGGTAGCACATATAATGAAGTATGAATGTCTGCAACACTCAAAGAGGTTGAGAAACAAGGTCTTTCCTTCTTTGAATTTTCATCTTGCATCCTGAAATCATCAAACCACTCCCAAAATTGTGAAATTTTACCAATGATCAATAATATGAAGTCTCTAATTTGTCAATTGACTTGATTATCTATCGGCTTTCAATTTCAACTTGCATATGAGAAGTCTCTAATTCCTGATCAATTGACTCGATTATCTGTCTGCTTTCAATTCGTTTTCAACCTGCATATGAGAGAGGTAAATGAGGGTGAACTTAGGAGGCCCAGTAAACAATTTACTCTATAATGTACAACGTCACATGGTCACACGATAATTTAAAAATCGACCGCAAAATCAAAATAAAATCAACATTTAACACAAATCCTTTCATAAAATCATACAAAACCCCACGATTCAATTCACTCGTGGCTTCGTACTTGATTTGTCTTAGCTTCATACTAGGCGTCACTCGTGAACCCTATTATGTAGCCCACCTCTTATTTGAAGGACTAAAAAAATGAAACAGAAGAATGTCAGAACACACAAATTTCGACTTCAAAGTGAAAAAGATCAACTAAGAAAAGAATGAACCTGACTCGACAGATGGTGGTTTTCATCAGCGATTCTTGGCATGGTTCGAGAGCTAGACTCTCCTTGGGTTGTACATCTCGTAACATAAATTGATGGTGTTGTACTAGTCGAACTTTGAGCAAGAAATAATTGAGAAGAATTGAGTTTAAGTTGTTGCACCTGAGGGATTGGAAAAGCTCCTGATCCATTTAGTCCAGGTAAATTTGTGACTGTTGACATTGATTGATTCAGAATTGGGGAAGGAACTCGAATACTGCAAGGAAGAATGCTGGAACAAGGCATTCTATACATTTCCAATCCAAATCCAATGTCGATCCCCATCCCCATTCCCATCCTTGGCCTCATGGACACATAGGGTGAAAATGGGGGTCGTTGCAGTCCTTGGTACCCCGTAGTTGGCATGTAGAGAGCTTGGTACGGAGCACCTCCTCCCATGGTGATTGTCTGATGTAATTGTTATGCATGAGACACAAACAATCAACATATACAAAATAGAAAAAGAGAAGACATACATATTTTGCATGGTTCGGCTAGAAAGAACACGTCCACAGGTAGAGCATAGCGAGAGAAGTTCACTATCTTTTTTTTTTTAGAAAAGTTCACTATCAAAGATACATATCACAATAGAACTATCAAATGAATTCAAAATTTATATAATGGTGCCCCAATACTCTTGTTTCATAATAGAGTTCAAAAGATGACGTCCATAGGTAGAGCATAGTGGCAAAAGTTCACTATCAAATACATATGACGAGAACAAATGAATTCAAAATTTATATAATGGTGCCCCAATACCCTTGTTTCATAATAGAGTAGACTTTCCAAATCTTGTGGAGTACAAGTTGTCAAGGTACTATCAATTCGCTATGGGCTCAGCTCTCCACTCAATGGACTAAGGCTTGAAAAAATTCTCAATTTTAATCTTATAGGTTATATGTTGGAGCCGATATGAATCGAAATGGAAAACAAACAACATTTGATCATGTGCCCAAGAGCCCACATACACAAGTCTTTAGTTTTGCAGAGAAAATAATAAATATTGATATCATAAGTTGGGAAATAGGAATTCAAGATAGAAAAAACAATTAAAAACACGATACAAAGATATAACATAGTTCGATACAACATATCTACATTGATACACTGAACTAACATCCACGGACCAAAAAACTACATCATGTATTATTCATTGGAAAATTGACCATCTCCTAACTAATTATATATATTTAACCCTATTTATAGAGATAAAATACTCTAATCGAATAAAAGTTAGATACTGCTAAATGCTAAATCTCTATATTTCCTAGGGTACGATGTATATCCTCTATGGACCAAAAACCTACATCATGTATTATTCAATAAAAAATAGTCATTTGATAACTGATTACAAAATATCAACCCGGAATAAAATATTGTAATCCAACAATTTGAATACTACTAAATCTCTATATTTCTTATCAAGTCACTAATAAACCTATTCATGTTTTATTAGGAATCGTCTAATACGTTTTATATTTCATTCATAATTTTCACGTTGAATATCTAACAAATTCTCATGAAATTAGATAGTTTCAGTCAAATTCCAACAATTGTATACACATATATAGAGAGAGAGAGAGAGAGAGACCTGAACTTGTCGTTGAAGGACTTTAATATATTCAATGGCGTCATCTAGCACTGAAGCTCTGCCTGACTGTCAACAGGTCACAGTTAATAGAAGCAACAATAAGGTTAGAAGTCAGATCATAGAATGGGGTCACAAGCAATTTCAATGAAATGCCTTGCAACTTGCTAACTTGTGGATTTCACAACCAGCATGAAGTATGGTAAAATGAAATGAAACATACTAGCTAGCCTATCGAACCATGCATCAAACTGAGATCTTGTTAACTGTGTACTTAGAAGAAGAGTAATTAAGGAGTGTAGAAGGAAGCTATGGCTTCAGGATATGATCACTAGCTACGCCAAATGTTTGCATATGAATCCCATCAACAAAACAATACTTTGTGAACAAAGTTGATAGAAAGCATTCATCAATGACCTTACGACAATTGGGTATCAGTTCCTGGAGAGTTCGAATCTTTCCGTTAATCTTATCCCTGCGTCTCTGTTCAGAAAATATGCATAATTAATAGTGAAATTAAAAGTAGATAATACAATTATTTATCTACCAATAAAAGAGTTTAATTCAATCAGTAAGCAAATGCAATAATATTAGTCAATTAGTCCTACTAGAGTGGGTTCTAGAACTGCCATATCAGTAAGCACCCAGTTGCCAATAAGGCAAAAAAACTACAAGATATTCTTCAGAGCTCACATCGGAGGTTTGTCATTTCAATGTCAGCTCAGCGTTCCATCCAAGGGTTGGGTTGCTCCGACAGGAATTGCTGGTACTATTATACAGAAAATGTACAGGATTTAACACAAACTGACCAAATTATCTTCATTGGCTCATACCCTCTCGGAAATATTACGTGTTGCGGCTGAACGTGTCCTTTTAGGCGGCAAATCATCTCTATTCCTCTTCTTTCTTGCTTCCCCATCATTACCCTGAAACCCAAAAAACAAAAAATTTAAACCCAAATCTCTCTCTCTGTCTCTAACAAGTTGAAAACACACTCACTTTACTTTGAGTACTCTGTGTAAGTTCCATTTCATTGCACGTCCTTTTTGTCCCGCTTGATTCACCCCTCCTCCATGTTTGATGAGTAGATGTGGTCCTATTTGTCTCTGCAGGCTCTGGTTGTGTATGAGAATGAAGCTGAACGTTTGATAAGTGCTTGAAAATATCTGAATAATCTTCAGCTTCTGTTGCATGTAAGAGGGTTGAACAGTTTTTGGTCTGAGGCCACAATTTGGGTTGAGGAAGTGGAGAATTTTCTATGGGAGATGGTTGTTGATAAAAATAATCATCTTCTGCGGTGGAAATGAAGTCCCAGTTTGGGTCTTGGTTGTTCATGTTAATGAGAGGAAAAAGATAAAAAGACAGAGGGATCTAGAGAATGTGGAATCTAAATTCTATACTGATATGGAGAACCTGAGGAAGAGGAAATGGCCGGTGATGTAGATCAGTACGTTGTTGGCACTTGGCATTGGAGGTGTTGGTGGTGTTGGCACTTGGCAGGAGCAAATAGCATATTTTACTACAAATAAACACACGACTCTCAGATATTCATTTAGAGGGGACGAGTATGGTATTCTATTAAAAGTTATAACAGGTAAAATTAGAATTTAAAATTTAAAATATCTTAAAAGTTCAAGTTTAATCATAATATTTTATGATCAATTTTTAATTTGTTATAAATTTTTTTTATAAGGTGTAATTTAATCTTTAATGATAATAAATTTTTGTACAATATTAAAAATAAAAATAAAAAATTAGTACTATAACCTTATCGTATTAACTGAGTAATCAAAACCTAATCAATAAGCATATAGTTTTTTTTTTTTTTAAGCATATAGTTCAATCAAAAAAATTACCTCATCACTAAACCAATCATACAAGTACATATGATTGATATGGCATGATAGTATTAACTTGTATGAGTGACCTATGCTTATTGATGTTTGTGTCACTGTATTGGGTTTATTACATGTAGATGAAATACATTTTCAATTACATGGATCTACATGTAATAGTTTAAAGAAATTAGCAGCATCTCGTGTAATGTACGGTATTTTCAATCTCTCCCATTTTAATTTTATTATCACACCACCACCACCACCCTCACCTTCTGCCCGTTGCCATCCTTTAGCCCAATCGGACCCCCAACTCCGACCCTAGTATTTTTAGAATATTATTTTTAATTGTGTTAAATTAAAAAGGATAAAATAAGGTAGTTTTTTAGAAGTAATTATATAAGTCATATAAAATAATTTAATTTAATTAGATCAATGCATTAATTTAAAATAATTTTAACATTAAAAAATTTGAGTACTTGATGAGGGAAAGTTTCACAAGCATTGAAAATTTGAGTAATTATTTGAATCTATTTTAATTTAAGTAAAAATTGAGTCTCTCTTTATTTGGTATAAACTTGAGTAAAACACTGAAACATATTTTTAGTCTATTTTTACTCGAATGTAAATTTGTGTAAGAGTTTGAATTAAACGAGACTCAAATTTTTATTCAAATCACTAATATTCATATTTTATTATTCGTTAAAAATCCAATAATTATATTTTAATGTCTTTTAAATTTGAGTTTATTATCCTTTAAATTTAAACTTGTCCATTAGAATCTTTTATATCAAGAGCAATGTTACTTAGACATAAAATACTGACTTGATCAATCATTTTCATTGGTTTAACTGTGAGTCCCAAGATTTAAAGAGACTCACTACTTATTCAATGGTTGTGATGGATCAAATTAACAAATAAAATCAACATTTAAGTCAAGGTAGCACTTCTTTTGTATCAAATCAAATTATTTATTCATATGTTGACTTAAAGTTAAGTCAAGGTTGGAGATGAACATACCTCACTTCTCTTTGAGAAAAATCCGAGACATAACTCAATGTGTTCGAGTTTTTAACGTGAAAATGCTATGTGGGTCACTTTTAATTTGTGATTTTTTTAATAAATTTCAGGATTTTTTGTGCTTTGTACTCTAAAAGATTTTAAAATTCTCACTTTATATCCTCAAAAATTAAAATTTTCATATTACATCCTCAATTTATCAAAAATGTAATAATGTGACATTATGTTAGCTTTTGTTATTTTTTTCATCAAAAGTCAACGCATTGACACACGGACGAAAAAACTAATAGAAATCTATAAAATGGTCACATTGCAATACTCTTGATATATTGAGGGTAAAAATGTGAAAAATTTAATCTTTGATAGTATAAAATAAAATACTTAAAATCTTTCAGGATACAAAGTGCAATTCATCCAAAAAATTTAAAGTTGGGTGTTTTTATTTTGAAGAGTTTTTTTTTTTTGATAAATTTGAGTATTTAACACATAATTATTTTTTTTTTATTCCGCTTCTGGGATATTTAACACATATTACCATCTTTATGGTAGCTACAATTCAAATCAATTCCATTGAATCTTCCATGATCATCTACGTAAAGTCGGTTCTATAAATCTTGTTTTATTTACTTTCTAAAAAATCATCAAACAAAATTTTTTATTTTCTGCAAGTTTAATTTCGTTGATAATTTTTTTCCTAAAGAAGGAAATTAGGATCAATACGAAGGGACTGGAGAACTTCATATGCTTGTATAGAAGAAGCAATCTTCAGGAAAACGAATATTTATTACAATTGTAATACTATTTCATTGATAACATATACTATTATTAATTAATAATAATACACTATGTAGGATAAGTAAACCTCATTATTTTAAGGTGTTAGTTAATCAGTACGGTAGTTATTAAAAATTATTAAAATAATAGAATTCACTTATCTCACACAAGTGACGGCTCGCGTGCGATGCACCGAAGTTGCACACATCTCCTTTCCTCCCCTCATCATATTGTTTGTTTGCAAAGTTAGATAACAAATTCGAGTGGTAATTATAATTATAAGAAGTAAGGGTAGTAAAACTATATTCTTTAAAAAATTTCAGACTAGTGACTCATTAAAAAAAAAAACTTTAAATGAATGGTAATTAAGTAGTGAGGGTAGAGAGGTAATTATATGAGACGTGTGTTAGAATATAATTGATTAAAATCACTTGTGACAATTAAATAGTTGAAAATCTAAAAAAAAATGAAAGTGAGAGAAAAGAGTTTTCAAGTTACCTCTTCCCTAATTTAATTATTATATATATAATATAGATAATATATTTTATTAATTAATCATATTAGGTGTCACTTATTACGACTGATATAATGAATATTTTCTGATAGAAAAATGTTATACTTATTAAATTTTTTTATCGAATCTTATATTTCAAATGATATAAGACAATTTTTGTCATTGAATATTAATATGATTCGCTTATTTAATGATAAAAATATGTGTTATATTATTTAAGATAAAAATTTAATAAAAAAATTTAGTAACTATACCATTACTCTTTTTATAAGGCAGTGGATCGGAAAGGATAAGATTAGCCACAAAAAGACAGTGGAAGTCCCGTGATTTGCCTTGTGGATTTGTGAAGCACAACGTGTGTGTTGCACATTAGTGCCAAATGTGAGCAATTAATACATAGCATTGATTAAATGGAACATAAAATAATTGGGAATCTATAGCACTTTTTTTCCTTTTTTGATTAATAATACTTTTTGTTCATGAAGAATGTTCATTTTATTAGTTTAGTTTTTATTATATTGATTTTATTAAATTAATTTTTAAAGTTTCGATTCGTGTCATTTAAGTCCATAATCAAAAAACTCGTAAAATTATTTTAATGAAAGTGATCACGTGTCATTTTTTAAACGTGTTTAATATAAGATCAGTTTGTTAAAAACTTAACGATCTGTCTATGTAGGATCATTTAAACACGACTTGAATACATTAGGGATTAAATTAATAAAATTGATATTTTAATGACCAATTGACAAAATATGTATACTTTAGTGATAAAAAGTATGATTAATTTTTTTTTTTGAACTTAGAAATCAATTTCATTTTTTCCACGATTTTGTAAATTTTTAGTACTTTCTAATTTATTGTCTAAATGACTGTTCTAGAAAATAATTTATTATCTAAATTATCGTTGGTTTTATGAATAAAAAGTTTAAAGTCACGTTTTTTTAATGTAAAAGCATATTTGCATCTTTTTCTATTGAGAAAAAACTATTTTCATCGCTTTTCTATCTCAAGGTGGATGATGTCAAAGCATGGTGTCATCCGTCGTGATTATTGGTATATTTGAAAAAGGGTTAATTAGTAATTACAATTTGCACCCCCAACTATGTCCCTTCTTATAATCAACTTTAAGTGATTTCAAATGTTGTAATTTGTCCTCTCTAAGTTTCAAGTAGATTAAATTGAATAACAACAATGACGGAATACCTAGAAGAACTATTACACCAGTCGTCTTGTACATTATTTTTCATAATTTTTCTTAATATACCAATTTTTTCTTTAAAAAAAAAGAAAATGAAAAAATCAAGACAAAAATTATATCTATTCAAACCAACACCAACACGCTACACAACACTATATTCACATTCACCTTCTCCTTCATCTCATCAAAGGGAAAGAAAAGTTTCTACCAGAAGGGAGAAAGAAATGAGAGTTAACATCCGAGGTCGAAGAAGATTGAAGAATTTTGAATATAGACAGTTACGAGTTTACTTTGGGGAAGTAAGAATATTTAGTAAATGGAGAAAAATAGGTGCAAGGGTAATTCAATTTTTTCAACAAAATGTGAATTTGAAATGTTTAATTTTTGTCAATTTTTATTATCTAAAAAATAACTATTGGAGTTAATTGCAAAATTTTCAAACATAAAGAGGGCTATTTATTGAGATTAAAACTTGAAGGAGTAAATTACAAACTACCCAAAGTTGAAGAGGGCACTTTGTAATTAACCGTTGAAAAAAATTAATTTCCATAATAACTTTAGTAAAATTGAGCTTATAGGTCATTTTGAATTCTTATGATCACTGTTAATATTGGGTAAGTAATTAAAAAATAGTGTGTGATTTTGTGTGTATCTTTCATCAATACTAACTTTAGTAAATAACTAGGTTAATTTTTGTCTGAAGGTACAGTGTATTGTAAATAGTTTTGATAGAGATGTTGGTGGCCATTAAATGAGTCTATTTAAAACTGTCGAATGAACTTATTGAAATATGTCTTGTTTTATATTATAAATCTTGAAAATTTTATAATTTCAGATGAGTTGAATCATATCAAAACTCGAATAAGTGTTGGATAGCCCTACTAATATCGACCGAGTGAGGGTTTTTTTTTTTTTTTTTATCATCTTTTAAAATATAATCATCTAATTTAAGGAAACCTTGGAGCGTTTCTCTTGTATAGATTTTGTCTAG